TCCAAGAAGGTATACTGGTGCTCGCGAGTTTAGCAGTGCCCAGACAACAGCTCTCTAATTATCAGCTCATCTGTTATATGTATTGTTTAGGGCTGCCATCAAATGCAAATGAACACTCTTAAACACCAGTTTGTGAGCCAGATCTGAGTATCAGAGACAGAGAACGCGAGTAATCATTGTGCAGCATTATTGATATGGGAGTAGTAATCACTGCTTTTGAAAGAAATGCTCCTCTAAACCTCATGCACGAAAGTGCTCTTTAAAAATATTTTGAACTGATTCATTATCTCAAAATATTATTTACCTGGAGGTTGTACACTAAATTATATTGGCTTAAGCTGTAAAGGCCCCAGGCTCATACAACAACTACTATAGCCTCAAAATACTTGTAAATCATCACATATGTGCCTCACAGCACCAGGCTGTTTGCTCTGCAGGCAAACACAAAGCAGCAGTACTTATTAAATTTCCATGAAGTTTACTAAATTTGCAGGATCAGTAGGGTGGGCCCGACAGGGAGGCTCTCCCACTGCCTGCAGCACCTTTGAAGCAGCTGATGGTGCTGATATTTAGCATTCTGCTGATATTACACTGCTGAACCCATCCAGTTAATCTCCACAGCAAAGATTAGTTTATTCGATTAAGGTTGTTCCATAGGGACATTCCCAGTTACTCCCTGGAAAGCCTCAAGTGTATCTTATTGTAACCTTTCGCTAGCTAAAAGGGTTCAGTGCAGTCATTTCTTCTCTCTTTTTATATGATTGAAAAATAAATTGAAAATGAACTTCAGTTAAAGCTCGGGTTTTAAATATGAGATAAAGGTCAGCACCCTGTGGCTTTCTACTTTTTTTTAAGAAGTATAATAATAATGTAATTATACTCCTTGTAAAATCCTGTGTTTATATTAGTGGGTCAATAATGCCTATCTGATTCCAAATAAGTACAGGTCCTTTAAGTGCAATATTTCCTTTCTATATGGAGAGAGAATGTGCAAACGTCTCTGTGTATAAAATGGACCCTTGGCTCCATTATACTGTTGCTAATGTGCCTCTTTTGTACTTACTTTATACTTTCCCTCCCCTAACTACAATATTTCTACATTTAAACACTTATTAAAGTTTATTTTCTTTCTTCGAGCGCCCATGGTCTATTTTGGTAGTTGGGAGAAACTTGTTTAAGAGTAGTTTTATTGGCTCAAAAATAGCCTCTCAGGCTATTTGTGCAGGTATTGTTAAAGACTTGGCTGTTGCCAAGGCCATGTTATGGAACCAACCTCCCTATAAATTTTCAAACTGGAAAAAGAGCAGAAATAGAATGGAAGCCAGGTCTGGGTACACATGTGAATACATTTCGGCAGGACCAAGAGAAAGATTATGCTCCAACATAAATGCATATCAGTGGAATTCTGAGGGCTAACCAAGACAGAACAGAATGCTGCTTGAAATCACAAACTTTTTTTATATACAAAGCATACAATTTACTTGCTGGGAATAAGGCTACACACTTTATCTGATTCATAACGTGAACTCTCTCACAACTTTGTTAACCATGAGTTAAGAGGTCTGCTACACTCATCAAAGTACCCTAGATTTTATAATGACGGAGTTGGATAACCTGACACCAATAGCAAAGTCTAAACTGGCAAATGCTTCTCATTATATTGGATTCAACTTGCCAGTACACAGAACATCTACCTTCCAATAACATTCAATGGATATGAAGACATTCGGCAGAGGGACCATGGGTTAGAGTTCAATAACAGTATCTCATCAGCATGGAATGAGAGCTTTCATACCTGAGAATTGGATGCTGCAAATAATGGCTTTGATGATACGCCGACAGGCAGTTGTTCCAGTGGCTAAACCAAAGAGTTGGAGTGAGAGGGCGGGTCTGACATTTCCTGCAATGGGGATTAAATTACCAGAGTTCAGCCCATTTGTGAGACTTTAGGTCAGGGTGTAAGTGATGGATAAAGACTAATTGGGTGAAGTTTTCATAGATCTTATTGCTTTTGGGACCTGATGGAGACATTGGCACTCAATCTGATCAAAGACCTTTTCTAGATCCAGTGAGAGAACCAGCACTAGCTTGGGTAGTGATTTTGATGCCTGGATAATGTTTGGTAGACACCTTAATGTATTGATGGGGTGTCTCGGTTACATTCTTTCTAATTGCCTTTTTAAATACTATCAGCAAGTTGACCTTCAGTTGTCTTGCATAATTGGTCTCAATTTACGTGTACATGGACGTGTTCGTGATATATTCCCCGGAGCCTAGCATAATTGGTTTCATTTGAAAAAGCACACGAAGATGTATGTCACATCCTTCCTAGAAAGTGCAACAGTTCTATCTCTTAATTGTCCAATTAGCTCTCTCTTAACCTTTCTTGACTCCGGTATGTTCGGGGTACCTGTCCCCCTAGGTTAAAATCTTCAATGCGATTGGTTACAAAAGAAGAAGTCACATGTTGGACCACAGTTTGCATCATTTGACAGTTAGTGACATCAGTAGAGTAGCCAGGTCATCAATGTGGAGTAATGGCAGCCGTGAATAGAATGAAATCAGCCCAAGTCACAAAGTAGACTACTATACATCCCACTTTTAGGGCATGACAGTTCTACTTTTATATTTAGTTCAGCCCAAGGGTGTAATAAAACAAATATTAACTGCAACTTTTGAGCTATATAAATGATAAACATTTGCTCCTTGGGTTACAAAAGTGACCTTGAGTATGTATTAATGCCCTCAGCCATCAGCTTTGTGCATTGTAACCCATTCTCAATCATTTCTGTCCTCCCTGGGGCAACAGCCCTCAAATGGACTCAGAATTGTTGTGTGTACGTGTGTGTGTGTATATGTAAGGTGATGGGCATTCTAATGAATCACTGAGACCAAGGTAGTTTGGGGCTAATATTGCTTGAGATGGGAGGGAGCAGACGTGCACTACAGCAATTCATCCCTTGATGTATACAAAATTAGGTTAGTTTTCATAGGGTACGTTCCACCTGTAATTAACTTTAAACGTCTGATGATAGATGGCGTAAAAATGCATTGGTCATCAGAGTTACAAAATTTCAGGTTTTGATTTCTCAACTTGTACAATACAACTTTCATACTTATGAGAAAATAAAATGGGATTCAGTACAGATAAATATATCTCCTTCAATGTGCCTTCTTTTAATATTATTTGGAATTAATTTGTCAATTTATAAATTAGTCGCAGGAAAATAATGTGCCCATTTGAGATTTGTATTACAAAGCAGTGAACCAGATTCAAAAAGGTAAACTGTTATAATGAAACATTAAATGGTGTGTCAGATGTCCCTGTAATTTGGTGGAGTAAATGTTCTGATTTATATCTTTCCTCAGCTCCCTGGGAAAATAACTACTGGTCATTGTGACTAATATGAACCATTGTGAACTACATTGTTCACACCATATTTACTGACTGTGTTAAGTGACATTCCATGAACTGGAATAGAATTTTATGCACAAATGAGTGTTATTTAATTATTGGAACTTGGACAAATTGGAGAAACGGTGGAGTTTTTGCATATCCATCAAACTAAAATATTTGCCATTTATACTGCACGTGAAAAAAAATGTACATATCTGTATTTCGGTGAGATCAGAATTTGCATATTTGCTATGTTTTAATCATCCCAAGCTCAACTATATGAACATAGCAGCATTTGTAATTTTAAATGATTACAATCACATATCTCTGTGCAACACAAATATTTTTAATTTCATTTTCCTGAGTTGTGTGCCATCAGGCTTTCTCGGCAGCATAACCACCAACTGTGATTATAATGTTTGTTGCTGCAAAGTGCACTGCGGTGTAACTCTACATGCTTGCACACATTTTCTTTTCCAAACCTACTGCTCCATGGCTACTGACTGTCATCACCCATTATCTCTGCCTCGAAAATTGACCGGGTTGCTTAACCCAGAGGATTTACCTTGCATGTTATCTCACTCAGTTCAAGATATGACATCATACATTCATCTATTAGGGGCACCTTTTCACATTCCATTTACTCAGTTGATAATAGTGATTATAAAAGATCCACAGTTTGATAGTGAGAAAGATCTGAGAGCTGAGGTTGACAGAAATGACGGTGGTGACAGGAGATGTCATGAGGAATGATGTTTAACTGGACAGATTATTTAAGATGATTACTTTTAACTATGACAGATTGTGTAGTTAGTTGCAGAAAATCATCTTGCTTTTCTGTTGGGGACTGAAGAATCGTTATGTGTTGTAAGGTTGTTAAGATAATGATTTTTCTCACTCTCCATTGCTATGCTTGCGAAACCAGACATTATATCACTGGCCTCCTGATTACATTAGTGGGGCATTACTCCAGGTTCAAGTTGCACTCGGTTAACCTTCTGTGTTCTTAAATCTCTTCCATTTAACATGGAAGAGTTTTGAAGAATTGTGCACGTTAACCCCGGCAAAATAATTTTAGTAATTAGATCGTTTCAGTTAGTTATTGCTGAATTAATAGAATTACAAAATGATGTGACCCTGCCGTAAAATTACCATATAATGTGTTCTAACTGGGGCGGAAAGCAGAATGGGACTGGGTCAGTTGGAGGCACACGGCATGAGCTATGTTCTGAACTCTCTCAGTGCTTAAGAGGTTAAATCAATAATCAGGTAATCTGTGATTGTAGTGCAAATGGAAAAATGAAGAGCTGCAAAGGAAATTGCTGCTGAATCTTGTCATCCTATGATTTATTCCTCTTTTAAAAAATTGTAATAGATGAACTTAAGTTTCTGCCACCTCTTGTAGAAAGGCACTTTGCTCCTTGGTGGCCCAAGTCTTTTGTTTTCACCCTTAACTTACCCTGCTATGATACACAAGTCATTGTCCACTAAACCAAATCAATTACATCTTGTCCTTTCTCCTTTTTTTCTGTTTCCCTCCTTGCTGCCCGTCTCCACAATGGTGTGTGGAAAAACTACTAATCCCTTCACAATGTGCTCCTAGGACTTCAACTCTGTAAGTACCAGTGGGACAAAGCCTAGACCCAGCTGAGTCTCCCTCTGAGACAAACTGAGCTAAGCTGATTGTTGCTAGAGGGATGGCAAGATGGTGACTGATCATGTGGTCTTTTGCATCAAGCAGAATATCGGCTTTTATTCAATCATAACGTATAAATATACAATTCATTCAAGCTGAATAGTCGGGGGGCATAACTCAGGGAGGGCGAGATATCTGCCCAGCAAGGACAGAAGGGGGAATTCAGTAGGGCTACACCCTACCTCCATCTCCTGAGCCTTTTAGGAGTTTGTTAGTGGCAACCTGAAAAGAAGTCACCTGCTCACTTTCGTGTATGCATCATGTAGGGAGAGGAGACTTAAAATGGAACAAACCAAATAAGGTGACGGAACTGAGAACATAAAAGCAGCACCTGGAAACTCGTACATCACTTTTAGCTACTGTACAGAAATGATTCGAAAGGTCTGTAAAACAAACACCCAGTAAAATTATCCTGAAGCGTACATTGTCAACACAAGTAATTAGAAGTAGTATTCTCATTGAGGGATTTGAGGTAAGATATAAATTATTAAAACAAACCTTGTGCAATTTGTAATTCCCATTCAAACCTTAAATACCCCCGCCCCCATTATTCTTTATAACTGGAGTGAAAGGGATCACTTCATTTCTTTTTGCTGGTGGCACTTGTCAGTCATCGTTGGTAAGCAGTCCAATTGGTAGGCAGATACCCTTATTAGCACTGAGACATATTTACTGCAATTGTATAAAATAATTAGTAAGAAACTACATATTCAGTAGATTTAATTAGACTTTGAATGCCGATGTCCTTCTGAAAACACTTCTGTGATGGATAACATTCAACTTATTCCACAGGTGGCATAACAACACTTTACAAGGCAGCCTTAAACTATACATATCAGAAGGTCTCTCTGCTTTATCTGGTTGATTTTAGCTGCAGCAGCAGGAGGGAATCAACAAAAACAGCAATAGGGGAGGTAGAACTGGCTAAACAACCCTGAGTTTGAGGGGGGAAAAACATCCAATATCCTTGCTCCTTATTGCTATGCAGTAACTCCTGCTGGAGAGCTCATACATTTGTATGGATGTCGTGTAGAAGTAGGATCCAGCTTGGCTGAGCTGCCCTCTTCCCCTCCCCACATTCAAATAGTCAGCCAATACTGATTGTCGAGGCTTATTTATGAATAATGGTTATTTTTGGCAATAGGGGAACAGGTGCTTGAGGAACTGTACTCAATACCTTGAGGAAAGGGGAGAAAATTGGAGAAGAAATATTAATGGAGAAAAAAAACATCATGTTTGAATGTTGTGAATAAATACCCACAATGAAACACAACCTATCTTCTGCCAGTTTCCAGGTACTCTACAGCAGTACTGGGACATTACCGTGTGCCACTTGGCTGCCATGTTTGCTCGTAAAACACAGTTACTGCACGCTACAGTATATCCTGTAAAGCGTTTTGGGACGTTCTCCCAACGTGTTCAGTAAGTCCTGAGAGTAGCCCAGTGGAAACTTAGCCTTGAATTTCCATTCTCATTCATCAGCTATCTAGTAGGCTTGGACATGCCCTCAATACAGTGGGGCTAAGATCAAAAACTTCATGGTGCTCCACTTCATGCACGACACTCTATGAAGAACAGTGAAACCGAGTTTAGCAGACAATAAGTGATTTGTGGAAATAAACTTAAATTATCCGCAAAAAGGTATCTTTTGCCTGCCTGGCATTTCAAAAAATCTCTGCTGTGATTTACAGTAAAATCCTATTATTAGGTGATTTAGGTGATAGTTGTTCTCCATAAAATCCCAGCCTGCCTTATAATGGGGTGCAATTTGCTGGTTAGAACCTCTGTATTAATTACGTTTAGAAAGCTGGCCGGCCTCTTGGGTGATAGCAATCTGATGATTCAAGACGTTGGCCATTTTTAGTATGTAGGAAATGAGCTGGTTCATATGACGAAGCCAATTGCGAGTCCATAGGACGAACACCTACTTTTATATGTAAACTAGAGTTACAAAGAGTTATAACCAGGTTTTTGTGTATTGTAAACTGCGTTTGATGGAACACTGAACTTTTTAAATAATGTCATCTTTCTAATACGTTTTGAGGCAAGTACAATGCATACTTGTAACGCTAAAATGTTGTTTAAAGTATTTTAGAATTGGAACACTAAGCTTTCAATAGATGACTGTTTTACCAACTTGCTAGCAGTTTTCCTGAACCACGTGAAGGTACATCATACTCCCCTTGAAACCCACCACAATAGCATCACCCTTAAATTGCAGAATATGGTTCAAAATGGTTTTGTTCAATTGAAAAGATTTGGGCCTTCAGTTGTCAACCAATATCAAGGCAAAATTTAGACTGGGTGCACCCAGCCACAAACTACAGTATTTAAAACAGTCTCTGCAAAATAATGCACGTCATCTTACTTTAAAAGCTTTACACTGGCTTGAGGGGTAGACCCTGTGGAGACGTTCCATTGCATATGATAATAAGCCATATATACTATAGCTGTGGCAGCTCATTACAGTCTCCATAAGCCATGGCGTGTGTATTTTTATACTTTACAATTTCATGCAGCCTGTTTAAGGATAAATGGGATACTGCTCTTTGAGCACTCCCTTGGGAATCCTAGTCAGTTTTCTTCAGAATTTCTACAGTAATAAACCTATATATGAAGCTCTTATCTACCCTTTAGTGCATCACTGAGAGAAGTTGATTCTATTCGTTGAAATTCAATCAAGGGCATTAAAGTGTAAACCGGTTGGAAAAACAAAGAGCTTAGGGAAATCAGATGCGTAAACAACAACAAACATGTACTTTGTAATCTTCTTAGAGAAATTAATGAAGGGAAAAACCCCTGTGCTTGGAAGGATAATGATCCACTGAGATCATATAACAGCCCTGGGAGGATCAGTCTGGAGGTGCGAATGAAGCAGACCAGATTAAAGCAAACCCCCACAGGAATAAAAAGAAATTAGGAGAAAGGATCACAGCCAACCCAAGCACAAATCCAAAAGGTTTTTTTTGGAGGAGGAAAGAGGGGTCTCAATCTATTTTGTAGGAATTCACCGCGTAAAGTCTTTCTTGTAGGATCTGGGCAACGACATCTGAAAACATATTTCCTAAAAATGCTGCCTGCTGCCAGAGAAAGGTGTGATGAAGTCTTTGTATTAAAACTGTACTTATATTTTCATACAGTTCTCCTTTGTTTCTCTTCCATCCCATCTGTGTTCTCTTGACATCCAATGATATTGTACTCCCTGATGGCCAACTGTGGTTGGGATGAGGAATCTTCTTCAAACACATCATGTAAACAAAGGGGGTAAGTCTTGTTTTTCTACTGATGATGTCTTTAATCTTGCTATTGATCTAACGCGTTGTGTAGCCCTTGCATCCTGAAAGTTTGATACGGGCCAGTGGAAGTGTTGAAAGATCAGTGTTACAAGAAAATAAATGTTGATTTGATTATAATGCCTCTGATAAGAAGCAGTAGTTGTTTACCAAGAGGCCTTTGGTAAAAACCTCTTCATTAGTGCTTGTTACCAAGTGATTGTTTCATTCCCTCCCAAATAATTTGCAGGCAAGGCTCATTCATTTCTGTCAGCTAAAATGCATTTAAGCATGAATAGGAGTCAAGACTGGCCAAATAAAGTCAGATGGCTAAGTGCAATTCAAACTGTTTTCTCTACTCTTCTGAAATGAGTAATGTGTATTTGAAATCAAAGACCGTCATCCATCTTTTCCTTTAGCAACTGCAGAAACACTTCGGCTGAAACACTCCATGTATTTTTTTTGTTCTGTAGACATTTTTACTGAAGCAAACTGTATGAAGAACAAAAAATACGGTCCTTGTAAAGACCATATGGGTAAAAAGCTACATGATGTGGCTACCGGTGCCCTGCTTGTCATCCCCAATCATGTTTAGTATAATCCTTGTTTTAATTTACTCTGCTTGTATGGCACCAATCTTGCCAGTGCATTCCTCCGGGTCCCTTCATTCCTGCCATTTATGACAAGGAATATGCAAAGGCACAATTATTCATCCGCTAAGGTGACAGAGAAGGGCTCTGCCTGGGAATATGTTTTCAGTGGCTCAGCATCTTAATGTCAGTTGCTAAAACACTTTGCAGTTACAAACAATTCTTTAGAGACCCTTCAGAGACCATTTTATTAATATGTTGATCTGAGAAGTGATTAGGCTTGGTACACATGAATACGTATATTTCAGTGGAGATAATGTTAAGCGTTTCAAACTGATGATGTAATAATCTTACAGTCCATACATTTCAGTATTTTATTGTTCGTACTGTTTTTTATTATTTTGTCTTATGTCAAAGTGAATTGAGCTGCGAGCCAGATTTCTTTCTGGATGCTAACCTTAAACAGCGCAGTAAAGTGTAGTCGAGAAAATGCAAGAAGCCTCAAGTGCGGTATTCAGTTTCTTGATGCCATGATGTATTGCATTTGCCACGGTCAGAGCAGTTTTAACAATGGCTTTCATTTTCTTCTGCTCTGAAACCATTTCTTTTTGCAAGGCCTATTCTCCTGCACTTCGCTTGCCTTTTCAGGGTATCATTTGCAATTTAAAGCTCACCTGGTGTGTGCACTAACAATAGGCTTCAGCATGAAATGGTTCAAGGCCTGCCTGCATGCCTAATGAGGTTGATGTTGAGCTATTTAGCTCTTTGTCCCACCATAATATCTACTTAATGCAACTCAATGGGAGTGGATTGTTGGAAGCGTTAAAGATTCTATTAAGTCTTTACAAAAGCCACTCTATTCTGCTACAAACTCTATAGTGGTTGCAGGATAAAATTTAAGAATGCAAGAGTGGGAACAAGTGGTCTAAGAGCCCGCATAGAGAAAAAAAACTGTTGGCAATTTTAAAGAAATTTGGTTACAAAAAACAAGATGCTTCAGTTACAAGATTATTGCAACTGTTCATTTAACTCGCTAACTGGTAACAGCCAGTTTTATTCAGCGAATTTAAAGTTAAACGCTGTTATATGCATCAGCCCTTCAACCTCTTTCATTATTTGCACTTCACTTTAAACATTTCTAAATCTGATGAGGTCAAAGTGCAGCAACAAATGAACAACAATAAAACAATATAGACTAATTCACAAATCAGGCTCCACCTGTTATTTTTGCAGGAGATTATTTAAACCCTGCCCTCTTGGAATAACGCTAAACACAAAAAAATTAGTATTTATTCAGGCTTTTTTAGTTTCTTCCTTGTGGGATTTTATCAAGCGCTTATGGTCCTCGCCACCAACTATGAAAAGCCGAGTGTAGCAGGGCCAGGATTTCACACAGTCAGCATTGACTTGGTTTGAAGAGAGGAGCACTAAGCTTTCTTTTCAAACATGGTAAAACCCTCCATCTGGCCACCCTAAACTCTGTTAGCTTGTTCAACTTGCTGTCGGCTGATTGGGCTTCCTGAAGCAGAAGTAACAACATCAATAGTGTAAACCCTTGCCACTTGAGAGTATTACATTTCATTTCATGCTTGACTTAATCAAAACTGGGGAAATGAAATTTACACCTTTTTGATGTTCTTTTCCCTGCTGTTTAAGAGAAAAAATCTTAACCCTTTTGATCTTCACAAGGACCTACTAAATGACCAAATATGCCAAACTGCCAGGAGCAGGCGGCTGGCAGTTGCCAAATGATGTGGGGTCAGCACTGAAGCACTTACTGCTTCAGCAGAAGCCCCCCAAAATGGAAAATGACAAGTTGCAGTAGAAGTGCTGGTTTAATTACTTGTTGGTGTGATGAGCCCTCAGATCCAGCCAGGCTGGGGGAGAAGTGTGCATTTTGCTGGCTGTGTGCTGCTATCCACAATCACTGTGCACTGTTTGCTCCTCTTAATGAAACCAGGGCTGTTAAAGCAGTTGGCAGCATCCTGCTGCTCACCGCACTGTGGTTGATCGTGACAAACACATGCAAGAAAAAATTAGGTTGTTTTTTTCCTCTTCTCTCGGAAGCTTCCAGTGGGTCGGACGCTCTCCTGCAGGCTTTCTGCCTTTTTTCTCACCCTTACTAAGGCCTTCATTTGTGACTTGATGAAAACATTTGTGATAGATAATCAGATGCTTGCGTCTTGCGGGGAACAACGTCTTGTTTGTTAAATATAAATTACCATTAACGCAGATAGCATTGCAGAAAGCAAAGGGTTTTGACACGTTTTCAATGAAGCAGGCTGGGTTTCGATGAAGGGAGCCAAGTGCTTGTAAAGAAACTTGTCTGGGACCGTGATGTTCGGACAGTTTTTGTGTGACAAGATACATAGTTTCTATTCAGCTATGGGGAGATTATTGGTTACTATAGTTTCACTAATGCTCAATTGAGGCTGATGGCTAAGCTGAACAGAATAGGTTAAAAGGTGCCGATGTTCAGACCCACGAAACCACATGTTGAGAGTCAGGGACCAAACAAAACAAAGAGCACATCTCTGTGTTCTTTGATGTCTTCTCTGAGCGATGTAGAGTGAGAAAGAGAGAATACTCTGCTCTTGGATTGGATGGCATGATGGGACCTGTGACAATGCTTCAGTGTGAAGATACAATCTAATGGTCCAAACAAAATAGAGCAATAAAAAGCATTCACCACTGTGCATATTTATTTTAAATTTGTGGCTAATAACTTTCTGAAACTAATATCTTTCCTCTTTATCTTGCATTGCCCAAACCAAAAACACTTTATACCCACTGTGTGACCTGGCCTGTTGGAATCACTTTACAATTGCTGGACTAACTGTCTGTACTGCTACATAAATCAGTTTGTAAGTATGAGCCATCTGTGTTGATTTCTTTTTATGTTTATTTAAATTCTGATGTCAAATAAATTACACGTTTCTTTGCACCATCGGTTATGAGAGGGCCCGATTTAATATTGAGCAGCATGGCTGCGTCATCGAAAGGCAGGCATCCGAGATTACGCTGGTGTTCTGCAACATTGCTTTATATTTGCGGCTGCAGCATGTCCAAATGATATTCCAAGAAATCAGTTCTTGAGCAGAGGTAAAGCTGGAGATAATGCTAGTAAATGAAGGAGCATTGTACATTTCTAATTATAATGATTTTTGTAAAAACGTTACAAAAAAATCAGCAAAGAAACAAAGACTGCCCACAGGCACGACTTGAATCAGTATATTTCTAACAAAATTGGAGACATTGTTACTTAAATGCCTCCCATTTCTTCTTCATACTTTTGACAGGGTTGATGGCAGAATACAATATCAAAAAAAATTATTGGAACTCTGTAAAGACGTACTCTGGCATGGAAATGAACCACAAACTCTATAAGTGGTAGCATAAAAAACAAAATATTAAATTACACTTGGCCTGTTTTTGAATGCAAATACTCGTTTGTGCTGGGCCTCAGGCAATAAGCAGTTACCACCAGTGCTAATATATATTAAATCATGCCTATTGTCTCTTAGTTCATGTTTAATTTATATCCAGCAGGCTCCCAAGTCATAGTTTTCAGATAAGTATGTAATTTGTACTAACTGTGCTCACCAAGTAAACACTTTTAAGAAAATTCAGCCTTTATGGAAAAGAACCCCCAAACAATAGGACTGGGATTGCTGTCCTTGAATTTGAGTCTTTAGTGACGCATCAGTGGGCTTACAATATGCAGAATTACCAGGCATATTAATGACCAGATGCAGTACCAGCCCATTCTCCTCACCAAAATCTTCTTATGCAAATACCCCATGAATCCAGTTCAAAGGGATGGTTTCAAAATGAGCTACTACACACATTCAGATGAGCCCTTTCACTGCCTGGGAGAGGACCTGTAAAGAGAGTGACATGAGAGAAGTTTGGACACTTGTTTTTATAACTGAACATGATCCTGTTATCATAATCTTATACTAGTTTCTTGCTCAGTTTGGTTTTTGATTTCTAAGTATTTAACAGAGGGGATAATCTCATCTTTTGTACCACTATGTACTGAATTTGGCACCAAAGAGAAATTGCTGTGTTTGGTTGCATGTTTAAACCATCTTTTAACTTGCGAAAGGTTTTGTATTGAACTGAACAGTCTTTGGAATTTTGTATTAGAATATTGAAAAAAAACCTTTTGTAAGCAAATTAATTAAGCTTTAAAGTTAGTTGGTTAGATTAAATAATTTTTCTTCTATTTTTTTCCATGTATGGAAAGTAGCAACTGAAATGCAGTGAATAATTTTAATTAAATATCTGAAAGGCTTTTTTTAAAAAAATAGCTATTATAAACGTATTTTAGTTTGGGTAAAAATCAACTACCCATAAATGGATTAGCTTCTTCTGAATTGCATTCAATGATCAGGTTTTT